TCCAACCAGTCCTAGGGCTCCAACTACAACAGGGATTGTTGATGTTCCCATATGCCACATTTTCGAGATTTCTATTTCAAGGTCCTTGTATTTTGACAGCTTTTTGAATATCTTCAGAGATACATTGCAGTCTGCAGGGACTGCCATATCAATAAGGAGGCACATTTTTTGTTTGTGGTCTTTAATAACAATATCTGGGCGGTTGGCTTTGATTGTTCTGTCAGTGTGTATTGTGTAGTCCCATAGAATTGTAACAGGTCCCATCTCCGTAACCGGGTTTGGGTGGTGTTCATACCAGTTTCTTTCAGTTTCCTTCCCGTAGAATTTGAAAATTTTCCAGTGCAGATATTGGCCCACTCTGTCATGCCGGGTTTTATATTCAGTGGGTGCCAATATCGTGCAACCTTATACAAGATGAACAATTATTATTATTATTAATATTATTATTATTATCATCATCATCATCACAAACTAATAGCCAGTTACTTGTTTCCGAGCACACTCGTTGGCTAGGGCGGCTAGCCAATTCCTATGCAGTGATCTTGCGATCAGGTGAAATAAAACAAAATCTGAAACTGTCCTACTCACGGGAAATTTAGAGCACTTCTTCTTTTCAACCGACCTCTTGCAAGGTAGGAGAACACGTGGAATTAAGCAGCTCCAGACATGAAGATCACAGATAAGTCAACTTACCCTAATTTAACTTTTCTTGTTAAATATCGCCTTTACTGATCGATTTATCACTTCCAAAAACTCTATTCATTCATTAACATAAACACAAACCAGAAATATTCTACTTGCAATCACATTACAAGAACTTTCTTATTCCACCGAACTTGTACAAAACTAGAGTCATTCGGTTAATAAATCATTTTGATTATATATAAGTGTCTCACTTTGTTGTTGTGAATGAATATATACTATATCTTACTAACTAAAACAGGAGTCAAGCAAGGCCCATCACAACACCTGTTACAGCCGCCTACTCAGGCACATTTGTGTTTGTTTAACACCCACAGAACCCACCTGTATCTATGTCGAGCGGAACTTAGTTACAGTTTCTGGGAGTGGACGCATAATCGGGCAATGATCAGCAAGGCCAGTACGGTCACAGTTCCGTCTCACAAGATTTGCTTGGGTGTGGTTTTCAGACATTTTCCAACGCTGGAATCTCTCCCAGATAACATCAAGGTCAAATCAACAATGGTGTGATTTGATCTCATGATCGGGAAGCGAACCACTTCTCTATGCGGTCATATTTTACAAGATATAAATATATAGAGTGGGGTAACAGAGATTGTATTGCTAAAATCTGTTGACCAGAGTAATTCTGAAAGACCTTGCCAGTACCTAAAAAAAAAAAAAGAAAAAAAAAAAAGAGCGATATCTAAAGTTTAAAATGTATTTTAAAATTGAAAAAAATTCTTGAAGCTTTTATTTTTGTTTTGATTCCGAGCTAATACTTTGCTGTATTTCAACCGTAATTTAAATTGATTGGAATTTTTTTTTTGGAAATCGATAAAATCAGCAATATTGACAAATCTGTCAGCACAACATAATTATTTTTATTCAAAATTTTTTCCAAAATAAAATATGTTTTCCTGAAATGTTATTTCAGGAAAATTAACTGATTTAAAATTTAATTAATCTAAATTAAAACAAATATTACTTACTTTTATTTTAAAATATCACAGAAAAGCATTTTTTTAATACGGAGGTAGGTGTTTTTATGAAGTGCTAACAGATTTATAGCTTAATGTTTGACATTTTTAAATTATGGGCACACATAAGTTTAAAATTACTTAACGAATGTTACTTAGTGAACGTTTTTGCTATATCATTTTTTAATTACCCAGTAATCTTAAAATTTAGGAAAATATTCTATGTAATCTAATATTTTACAGAATTTTAGGTAATTTGACTTCTTAGTCTTACTTACAAAGACGCTTGTTGAGGAAATGTTAGTAAATTACCAAATTTTAAATTTACTATAGTTGCCGCTCTTATTTTCTGATAATGTCGTTTATGGAAATCCCTATTTACAAAAAAAAAAAAAACCGTTACGTTTATACGTACAAAATAAAAAATTCAAAATTCTTTTTAAAATTTTGTGGTCGCTGAATTGTAGTAAGTTTTTCCATTTATCGTTAGTAAATATAGTTTTTACTTAATAGCAACATCACCTAACCGCTACAAATTAATACAGAATTTTAATTAGAATCTTGAATAAAGAAAAAAACAGTTCTTGTAAAAATTCATTATTCACTGAAAACAAATTTTTCTTAAGACAATAGCGTCCATAATATTCATAAAAGCAACTCAAAGCTTTTCTAATTAAATAATGTTTTAGTTTTATTGCGTACTAGCAGTAGAGCCCGGCGTTGCCCGGGGATGTAACAGTAAGAGATAGATCAAGTATCGACCATCATAAAGACTGAAAAATAAAATTGACAAAGATTATTGTTTAAGGTTGACGGACACGCATGTCTTAATTAGTTTTATTTTTTATTTTTTATTTTTTTTTTTTTTACGAATTGGTCAAACCCAAACTCAAACAAAAACATTGTTTTCAATCGTCATGTGTCTACCGATTGAATAGAATTTTATTATAAACAATTGTCTTGTAAATGGAATTTTTAAAGCATTCTGAATGTAAAAATAAAGAAAAAAGTGTGCAAGACAATAAGAAACACTACCTGCCAAAAAAAAGTGAAGTTTTGTTGAAATCGGTTGAAAAATGTAGGAAATCCGATCCCATATATAAAGGAACACCCCCACCCACACACACAAATAACCAACCTGGGTTTTATAATAAGTATAACTCGATAACTCGATATTAATAAGTATAACTCGATATGAGTTGTCTCCCTTTCATTAATGCCTCTTAATCGTGTTTTCAAATTGATTTCGTGCAAAAACAATTGTGTTTTTTCCAATTTTTGGCGCTGTCAGAACCACCGCAAGTTAATTTTACGTAGTCCTGTGAAGTCTTGTTGAAATCGGTTGAAAAATGTAGGAAAACCAATCCAATATATAAACGTACAGACACACACACATACAATCTGCGTTTTATAATAAGTAAGATTTTATTTTACGGTTCGGAACAGATTTTCAGTAACTGGGGGTTCTGTTTGATGCTCATTTTTAACAAATCTTTGGTAACCAAACTTTCTTTATTATTAAAGTGTCTGATATAAAGAGACACATCATTAATAATAAATAAAATAAATTTGTTCACTTATTTTACGACTGTCTGTCTCTACACTGAGATGTTATTTTATGACATAAAATTATTTGAATTTGTTCTTACGTTTACGTCGTAAAATATCGTCTTTTAGAGAAATATGATTTTAAAAATAATTCCATTTACCATCAAGTCTTCTGAAATGTGAACGTAATTCTGCGAAATTCAGAGTATAGTCACAAAGTTAGTGAAAAGATTTGATTTATTCTATTTATTATATAGTGGGTTATAATTGATGTGTGTATGTGTATCATAATAGACAAACTAGAATTATGATACACATACACACACATGAATTATACACACGAATGCTGCTTGACAGGACAGGTATATGGGAGGTCTGCTTAACCAACAAAAAAACAACACTATATGACGGTTCCCATGAGGAACTGTTGGAGAGCGCATATTCTCTATGAAATTCCTCGAACATTCAGACCGGCAAATGTAATTAATTAATCATTTAATTAAAAACAGGGCATTTACTTAAATAAATCGTATCTATAAAAACAACGTATAAACTGAAAATACACTAAATAATTGTCGGACTTAATCCATTTCATAATATATTTGGCAGCTTGTTTTCATTAAGACATGTCTCATTAAATAATTTAGACAAGTTTTGTCTACTTATTTTTAATATGATCCCCTCGTAATTACGGACAAATTTCTTAGTATCCTCCGGAATAAAATGATATGCATTCTTCCTTTAATAAGGATACTAAGAAAATTGTCCCTAATTGCGATGGGATCCTATTAAAAATAAGTAGACAAATCTTGTCTTAATTATTTTTTTATGAAAAATGCAATCGTCACACCTGACGATTGCGTTTAGTATAAGACAGTCTGTCGCCTCTGAGTGTTGACTTCAATGTTCCCTTTTATATTTACATACGCTCTATCTCTGATATTGAGCACTTTATCTTATAAATATAGCATACCTTAAAACTATATATATATATACACACACACACACACACATATATATATATATATATATATATATATATATATATATAATCAGGCTAATAGTGAATCGGTAAATGACAAAATAAAAAAAAAGCTTTTATAGTGACACTTTGTTTCGAGGAGAAACTTCTTCAGATTAATCACTTTTAAGCTCTTATCTTCCTACATATGTCTGGGTTAACAATTTTAGTATGCGACAATATAAAACAAATCAGAGTGCAGAAAGAAAGACAAAATGGGCGCGAGACGAAAATCTAGTACTTTATTTGCCGACAGTTAGATTTATTAAGTTTAACTTAGTGTGGCATAAGGTCAGGACAAATGAAGCTAGAAAAAATGTGTAATGGCAGTCATCCAACTGGAAAGATACTCTCTTCTGAAAATCAGCATTTGAAATTCTATATTGATGGCAATGGGAAAAAACAACATCAATCAACCTCCTCTGATGGCTCCGGTTCAGCTATCAATCAGCCTCCGCTGGTAGTCCGTTTCAGCCATCAACCAGCCTCCGCTGGTGATCTGTTTCAGCCATCAACCAGTCTGCGATGGTGGCCCCGTTTCAGCCATCAATCAGCCTCCGCTGGTGGTCCGTTTCAGCCATGAATCAGCTTCTGCTGGCGGTCCGTTTTAGTCATCAAGCAGCCTCCGTCGAATACTCGTATTCTAGTGTTGCTAGTCATTTGCATGCTAGAAGCATGGAACATGTACGTTTTTGGTTGAATAGTTTCAACGAAATAAACAAATTCTATAAAATATTTCAAATGATATAACTTAAAAAGATTTTCATCAGACGTGGAAGTTGGCCAATGGAACCCCCTCCGAAAAAAACAAGAAGTATAAGTAAGTACATAAGAACAAATCTTATTGTTACTGTTTTTGTTTGCTATTTCAAACATTTTAGAAATTTTATGTTTCTTCTTGACTTACTAAGCAAACAAGTACGCGTTTCAAATCCACAGAGAAGATAGGAGAGAAATGTTATCCAATGTCATGTTTTGTGTCGGCTCTACTGATTGGTTGTTCACAGATGTTTAGTTGGTTTTTGTTGGTGCGTTAATTGTCTGGTGTTGACATCCAACTCATTACACAAAATGAAAAACATTTCCTCTTCGACTGCTTCGTCGTAGCATTACTCATTTATAGAACATTAGCCTACCGACGCACATTCTCCATTCCTACTTTCTCAAAGGTCGCATTCTTCTTTCTTTTTTCTCTGACGAAAGCATTACACGTGTTTTTAGACACCTCTACTGTACAGAATTTCACTATGTATGATTCTAGTCCGTAATCTGAACTCCGTATTGTATTTGTATGTTGACATCTTGAGACTCAACTAAAAACTAATTTTGTTCTTTCACTTTGTAAAAAACTCTGAAATAAAAGTATTTTCTGTGGGCATTTGAAGTGAATAGGCATTTGTTTCTGCTTATAAATACTTAAAAATACCGGCTCTGTTCTGTTAATTCACCTCAAACTACTAATTCACCCCAAAATATTAATTCACCCCAAAATAAAAAGAATTTATGTTTACTAAAATTCGCGCCAAATTCTCCCAAAGCAAGGCCTTTCCATTGCACTCTGGTTTGGTTGATCTTTGCGATCGCCCCAAATGTGGTCAACTCGGGTGCGCTATTTCGAAGTAATCATCGATAAACAAGCAAAAAAACAGATTTTTTTCTTTCGTTTTTTATTTGTAAAAAAATTCCTTAAGTACCTCGAATATATTCCGTACTTACGAAATGTGAATAACTCCCTAATGTTTTGGTAATTTTTTATTCTAAGGGTTGGTGTTGTTATTGCAAGGCAAGATAAACAAATTTTAATTTTTAAAATTTATAATTTCAAAAGAAATTAAAAAAAAACAACAAATTTTGATTTAAAATTTATAATTTCTTGGGGTGAATTAATATTAGCGATGAGGAACTTTAATTTATTTGGGGTGAATTATCAGAAAAAAAGATTCAAAGTACATCCAATAGCCATTTCTAAAATAGAGGCTTACAATAGAGGAGTAATGAATTGTTTCTCTTGTGGACTTGAAAGCGAGGGAATTTTTAAAAAAATCTATCTATCTATCTATCTATCTATCTATCTATCTATCTATCTATCTATCTATCACCAGCGAAAAATATCTTGTCGAAAAATATTAGTTAAAAATTAAAGAAGTAAATTCTTACAATTTGTTCTTGCTTTAACGACAAACATAAAAAACGTCATTTAAAATTAATTTTGAAAAATGAAAAATCTTTCTTGAAGCTTTAATTTTAGTTTTAAATTCCAAGCTAATAGATTACATTAATTATTCCCAATAAACAAAATACTTTGGTGTATTTCAAACCGAATTTAAATTGATTGAATTCTTCATTCCTCCTTATCAGTAAAATCTATAAATTCGCCCATATTGATAGATCTGTCAACACAAAATATTTCTATTTATTAAAAAAATCTTTCAAAATTAATATACTTTTCTGACACGTTATTTGAGGAAGATTAACTGATTTAAAGTTTAATTAATCTGAATTAAAACAAATATTACTTTTAGTTCAAAATATAGCAGAAAAGTATTTTTAACACGGGGAGGGTATTTTTCTGACAAGTGGTTTATTGACAGCCTTATTATTGGAAAGTAAAGGTGACAAAATTGGAAAAAAGATTACATGACGAACACAACGTAAACTCCTTTTGTTATATAATTTTTTTAGCCATCCAATAATCTTAATAATTTAAAATATTTTAAGCATTCTAATATTTTATTGACTTTTAGGTATTTTGGTTTTATAGCGTTACTTACGAAGACGCTTATTGAGAAAATGTTAGTAAATTATCAACAAATTTAAAATTTACTACAGGCACTTCCCTTATTTCGGACAACATCCGTATTTACAAAAATGTGTGTGTGTGTGTGTGCGCGCGCGCATTTTTTAATAGTGAGAGATCATTGGATTGTAGTAAGCTTTTCCATTTTGATTAGTAAATAAAGTTTTAATTTAATAACAATATAACTTGACCGCTACAAATTAATACAGAATTTTAAAAGATTTAAAAGTTTATAAATTATCCTAATGTTAAAAAAAATTATAAAAAATGAAAACAGTTGTAAAAATTCATTAATCGAAAACTTTTTCCTAAGAAAATAGTGTCCATAATATATTTTATTCATAAAAGCAAATAAAAGCTTTTCTAATTAAATAATGTCTTAATTTTATTGCATTTTTTATTTTAGGTTTCAGAGCAGATTATAGGTAAATGGCATCCTGTTTGATAAAAAAAATATTGATGATTTAAATTCTCCTAGGACTTGTCATTATTACAAATATAAACATTAAGTGCTACTAAAAAGAATTTTCATAAAATTAAACAAGTAGTGGGTTAACAGATCTAAAAAAAAAAAAATATTTTTACAAAAATTTTCTGTAAAAAACACATTTTAAAAATAATTTAATTCATTTGTGATTAAGTCCCGAATGTTTCACTAAATAAAATCCAAAAATTATCTGATTTTCGCAAGAATTTCCAAATCAATGTATTTTTCACCACTAAAAGACGCTCAAATGTCCCGTGCAAATTTATGGTCCCTTGTTGGCGCCAGAAAAACACGATTTTTATCCAAAATTTCCGACTTATAAAGGATAAAAAAATAATTTGATCTTTCCTCTTAGTGTTAAATAACGCAAAGATTTTTTGACGATAAAATTTTGTTTTTTTTATTGTTTGCGCATTTTTTCATCATATATTCTCTTTTTGAGCGAATTTTTGGACATAAGAGCTCAAATTTATGTCTTGTAAAGAAAAAAATAAACGAAACCTTTTATTAATTAGTAAAGAGTGAATTAAACGGCTACGAAGTTAACATTTTCCCTTGAATTGATAAAATCACAAAGGCCGCTATCTGACTGACAGAAATACGATATTTTGTTACAAATAAAAATAAAAATCTATTAAAAATAAACATAATTGTAACATTAAAACGATTTTATGAGAAATAGTTACTTTAGTAGTTTAATCTTTACTCTATTTTACAAAAAATTACCAAATTTTATTTAAAAAACATTAAAAAATGTATTTTTATAACATCGATGGCTCGTCTCAGTCAGGGTGACGGACAGCAACAGTTGAGTGTTGACTGAATTGCTTCCGTTTGTAAATATGGTGGTCGGTAATAAAAATCAATATTTAATTTTTTATAAACTAATTATGTTTTTGTATTTTTGTAAAATTCGACGTGTTTTTAAGACCCCAAAAAAGGTAATGATATTTTTATATAGTAACAGTGTTTACACAAAGTAAACATTTTTAAAAGCAAATATTTCTAATTCTACTTAAAATCTAGAAATAATATGAATATCAGACTTTAAAAGTTAATTTAAAAGTAAAAGTAATTGAGTTTTTGGTGAAAAAAATATAATGTTCACTGTGAAAAATTTAGGAATGAAACGATTTTATTTTTAAAATAAAAATCTTATAGCTGACACAAATGTGATATATTGGAACAATCAGCAAAAGAGTTTTATACGGAAGACAATTGCAAAATATTTCAGTGGTTTAGAAATCAATGACCTATCTACTATATTAGTTTAAATCTAAGAAATAAATACTTATATAATCTACTACTGGGTCATATTTTTTAAAAATTGTGATGTCCTAATCATTTTCATCTTCTGTAAAATAAGGCATTTTATTATTATTATTAGCAAAATGTATGATTTGTTCCTTAAACTGCACAATGCAATTACCTAAATTCCATACATACCTCCTTAAGTACAATATTAACTTGTAATATCTTGGTTCATTTTTCTAAAAATTCTGTAGAAAATTATTTTGACAGTAATGTAGGATTTATACATTAATTTGCTCTTTCAATCAGTGCGTATCAGCTGCGACGTAGCTAGTGCAAAAGAGAAAAGCAGAAATGATTACGAATCTGCGCATCCGTAGTTAATAATAACATCCCACCAGCAGTCGCATAGTTTTAGTTATTTTAAGAAAAATTGAAAAGAATATTTCCCCAATATATTTCTATATTTATTTATTAAATTATTGGACATCATTTATTTAAAAACAAAATCTTAGTACGCATTTTGAAAGAATAAATAATGTTTCGAAATATCACATTATTAAATTTATAAAGTTACAAAAAAATCTCTAAAAAATATTAAATAATTTATTTTATAAAAAATAGCCCTAGAATTAAAAAAATGTTTAATGAAAACCAAAAACTATTTTATTTTATTTGTTATTTTTGAGAATTTGATACGAAGTTATAAGTACCGGCGATTGTTTTTTTGTTTTGATTTTTAATTTTTTAAGCATTTATTTCACAAAGACTTATCTTTAAAAAAATGTAAACCTCAAATGTGATTACATTTGAGGTTTACATTTTTTTACTCGACACAATTGAAAACCATTAAATTAATTTAAATTAATATATATATATATGTGTGTATATATATATATATATATATATATATATATATATATATATATATATATATATATATATATATTCTCTTTGGAATAAATGTCAAAAGTTTTATTAAACTCTAATAATTAGTTGAATTTTGGAAGATTTTTTTTTAAATCAACGTGTTTTTAAGACCCCAAAGGTAATATTTTTTTATAGTGACAGTGTTTACACAAAGTAATCAACAATTTTAAATGCAAATATTTCCGATTCTATTTAAAATCTAGAAATAATATTTATATTAGAAGATTTATTCATTCTTTCAGCTTTCGAGTATTATAAAACAAACGGTCATCAAATTGTGCTTTACATGTTTCATAGCTTCTTTATTAAGGTGTCAAATTTTTGCCATGAAAATTGGAGATAACTATGTTATGCTTTTTCTTAATCTCTCAGTTTATATATGAAATTTTAACATTTTATGAAAACCTTTTTAATTCGACATTGAAATAATTCTTGGCTATATTTAGTCAAATTCTACTAAAACATTAACGCATTAAAATAATAAATTAAAAAATACAGAAAAATTGCACTTTGAAAATTATTTAGAAAAATTGGCAACCCACGAATTGTCGTGCTGCAAGAGATAATAACGAAATCAGTTCTCCTCCCAGACTTCATGATATTTTTTTCATGAAACTTAAGTGAAATCGAGGGAAACGGAAAAGCATGGATAATGTAATTTTTCAGGTGCGAAAGGTGTGCTTGCCTTGAAGATCAGCATTTAAAATTCTGTTTTTTACCAGGGTTCTAATATAATTTTCTGGGCTGTTCACTCGTCCGAGTTCATTAGTGTTTTGTTCTACAATAATTACGATAATATATTTTTAAATAACAAAATATACCTGTTTCTGTAAATTATAAATTGGGTAACTGAACAGTTCAAGGAATGTTGCATTAAAAAATGACTTCGCTTGGATAACTGATTCTACAGATAACAGACAAAACGTCAGGCTGAAAGGTTACGTAAGCCGTGTTTGTTTGCGAAACAAAGCTACTTCATCGTTGAAAATATTGCATTCACACTTCGAATTTTGTGTTGTTTTATACATTTGAAACGTAAATGTGTTATTTCTAATTTGAAAGCTGTATGTCTTGAATACGCATGCGCTAGTTGAGTGTTTTCATGAAATAAAGAGAAAAGCTAAACTACAGAGTAGAATTAGGCTGTTTTATGGTCTGCTTTATGTCTGCTTGTTAAGCACTTTTAAGTTCATCCGGTATACGATTTGCTACTAAAATAGCAAATCATGTCTCAGGAAAGTAATTATTTATCAAAGATGAAAAAACCGCGGATTTCCACTCCTGAATTCGGAACTGATAAAACCGTTTTTTACTTTAATAGAAAATGCTGCTTATCTTGTTTTTTTTTCTGATGAGTGAAGCTGTTAGTTGGGATGAGCATTTAGATATTTCCCGGATGTTCACTCGGAGTGGACCCTATCTCGCCAGATGGCCGAATTTGATGCTTCTGCAGACACGTGTTCCAGCTCCTTAACTATTTAACTGCGAGTTGCATTAAGAAAACCCGACGGTCCCTTTTTTTCTTCTTTTGGCTTCGGACTTGATCTTGATATTACCATCAGCACCAAAAGATACACAATCTCTATTACTTAGGGAAATCCCTCACTGACACTTGACCTCTCCGCGATCGTGCTCGTGAGTAGGTGACTATGGGCTTAATTTGCCAGTTTTGACAA